GGAGGAGGAGGAGGAGGAGGAGGAGGAGGAGGGAGAGCAGAGCAGCACAAAGAGCGGAGAGCATCCAGAGAGGGAAGGCTGGCGGACGGGACGTCGTGAGGACAACAACGGGGACCAGCATCCTTCTTACCTCCGGACCTGGCTGCTTCACTGACATCATCCATCAGGCGGGAAGAGCTAAGGTGTGTAGACTTTTTATCTCCTCATGTTGTGTTGTTCAGGCTTGTGTGTCTGTATGTATGTATGTATATGTGTGTGTGTGTGTGCGTACATTGAGGGGATCGGACAAAGAGCATGGGAGCCCCCCTGTCATCCTGTATGCTGTGTAACCTACAGCTGCCTAAACAAAGAAACGACCCCCGATGCAATCATTTCACCCAACTAACAATATTTCTGTTCTTTAACTGCAGGGGTCCTGAACACCACCCGTCTCAAAGGTGAATCTTCCTCACACACATTTTCTTTTTTCCTTTTTTTTAAAACATAGAGCTTAATTGGAGAAAAGCACTCCATTATTGGTTTTTGATTGACTAATTAACATTTGCATAATTGTTTCCCTCAGAAGCTACTGGAGCCCTTTGTCATCAGACTGGGCTATAAATAGCACAAACACTTTGATTTTTTAAAAATTATTATTACATCCTTTTTTATTATATTTGTTGACCTCCATCAAATAGGTGCTGTAAATCTAAAACAAATATTATAAGTCATATAAACTCACAAAACCCGATTATTGCAAAACTAAATTTTACTAGCTGTAAAAATTGGTGAATGGCTTCAACTTCTTCTTCTTCACCTATAGGTCTCGTCCAGCAACAGCCGCTCCTCTCCAGGGATAACCTGGTCCTGATCTTCTCAGCTCTCGCCGCAACTTCCTCCAGCCGTGTTCCAATGAAGGAGGCCGATGCCATCAAGTTATTCGTGGGGCAGATCCCCCGGAACCTGGAGGAGAAAGACCTCAAGCCCATTTTCGAGCAGTTCGGCAAGATCTACGAGCTAACAGTGATTAAGGATAAATACACCGGGATGCACAAAGGTAGGTGTCCCCACCTCCTAACAGAGTCATAGATAGATAGATAGTAGGGGTGCAACAATACATGTAACCATATCGAACCGTGCTTTAGGTACAACACACACTTGTATCTAACAATACAGATTTTTAAAATTTATCAGCTTGTCTTGTGAAGATGCTCTGTGTTGAAGGATCAGTGGATCTGTGTTCCACTACTCCACCTAGGCTGTATTTTTGAGCGCAGATCCTCTGAGAAACTTGCTGTTTCAGGAACATTTAATTTAAAAACTGTACTTTTGAGGTTAAACAAATGTTCATAATTAATTTAAATAAATTACAAGTTAAAAGGGGCATGGACATTTCTCTTTTTTGTATCGAAAAAATATCGAACCGTGAGTCTAAAGTATCGAACCGAACTGAATCGTGAATTTTCTGTATCGTTGCACCCCAGATAGATAGATAGATAGATAGATAGATAGATGGATGGATAGATAGATAGATAGATAGATAGATAGAT